ATATAGATGTGTGTGTGTGCGTGTGTAAAGAGCGAACACGTTTAAGCGTTATTTTTTTTTTGCAACGCCTTATTGGTCCCATGCCGCCTGAAGCGAGAGATGACCTGCCGCCGCCGCCGCACTGTCGCAAAACAGGAAACGACCCTCTCACGGTACTTTTCCTTCTTTGCTGCACACATTTTAAAAGACACGCGCATATAACGTAACATATATATATAATATATATCTGTATACCAGTATATATCACACGACCGATCATTTTTCCTCGACTTCTAATAATTATGAGTTTTATATTCAGAGCCTATAATTAATTCAAAGTATATAAACGATATGTTAAATCATAATATAATCATAATATATAGCGTCTCTGACGATGGAAATCCGTGTGTCATATTTTTTTAATCCTTTTAGATTTATGTCATAACACGTAGATATGCATATTATACGTACCTATAGATATTACTTAAGCACTATACAATTAATAGGGTATAGTTACATTTAAAATTAATTTATGAAAAGATAACTATTTACTGTAACAAGGGTTATGTATATTCATACGATTTTCACCAATTAAAAAACTGCAGTTATTGTATCTATATAATATTATGTATTTTTTTATATATGAATTCATTAATTTACTATTTTAGAGTCTTAAATTTAACAAAGTAAAAGCTTTATTTAAAATATAATTATTCATATAATTGTATACGATATATATTTCCTCGTGATACACGATTGCGGGAGGTACTTATCAGGGCGACCTTTTTAACTATTAGGAAACGTTTATAGTTCAATAATGGACCCCCTAAAATGACACGATTGCGGACATATGTTGTCAAATTTATAAATGATACTTTGATAATCTGGGAATGTGGGAATTTTGAGTATATTAATTCTAGTAAGTTACAAGTAATTTTTGTTATGTTTCTGACAATAATTTCATCAATAAACAAAGGCCACGAAAACTCGGTGGCAAAAAAAAATTTAGGTACAATTAAATTAACTATTCTGCAGAGGTATAATGATTATAAAAATCACCAAAACGTATTAAAATATTTAAGCTGATTCATCAAATAAAATTTAAAAATGTACTCGTAATTATCAATATTCACAGGACAATAGTTTTTTTTTCTAGTCATTTTGTATGTTCGAAATTTTAAAAATAGAAATTACCTATTTGATTTTTAATGATTTTATGATTTTATAGTTACCTATCAGTAGGAGGTCGGTAATAATTGTGTATATTAGGTATTTTGTTATTTTCGTAAAAATGGGGTCATAATATATTATAGCCAACAGTTAAAATAATTTTAAAGCAATAATATTGTTTTTAAAACAAAATTCCACAGCCACAATGTGTTGAAACAAAAATATTAGACTATTCTAAGAGCTAGAACAGTCATATTTATAAATGTGTCAACATTTATTTTATTTTTTTGTTAAGTTTTTACACAAGTATGAAAAAATTCAAATCTTTGTTGAAATTTTTTCTGTCAGCTTGTTGTCAAACAAATTCTAAACGTAGGTTGTAGGTATATCTGTAAATGTACTAAGTTTATATTTTTGGCAACAGAAGAACTACATTTGATTGAATCAATGACACAGGTGTGTACGATGGTACTTCTATATTTATAGTTATAGCATATTATTTCATTAAATAGAACTAATTAATTACAAAGCAGGTAGTAAATATTAGAAAAACGGCTTAAAATTAATAATATCATTACGTCAGAAAAACAATAGTGTTCGACAAGATCAACTTTTATATTATTATTGTAATTGAGTTTAAAAACTTGAATTTACATAATATTTATATTAGGATTTTCTAGACATGATACAATATTTAAAATGTTCCGTACCTACTTTGTTTGTCAATCTATAAAAATTAAAAATTATTGACGTTTTTTAAAGTTTTTCTTATATATTTATAAAAGTTTGAATATTTAATTCAACGCTCCTCATACTTACAGAAATTAAAAAATATCAAAGATGCACAATTTTTTTTTACACTATACACATTTCGAGTTCAAATGATATTTAAACGAAAAATTACTCCTTAAACTGTTATTATAGAAACATCATTTTATTTTTCAGCTTTTTTAAGAACATTTGTTGTAGATAGGTACATTATACATTTATACTTTGGAAACCATTGTTATATTACAACATCACAGGATTCGGCCACGCAAGGGAATTATATGACATAAAAAAATATTTAAAAAATATGATTATCGAGTAAATAACAGATTTTAAACAAAAAAATACTAATGCGTAATGTACAAGTCATATATAATAGATTCTAAGGTTAGTGTACAACCTAAATACAAAATATATTTTAAAAGCAAATTAAAAAAATTAATGAATTCAATGACATACAAGATACAACTTTAAATAATTTATTGTTATTCAATTTCTGAAAGAGCTCACAACACAGAATCCAATTAACGGTCATCTGATCGTTGTCAATGTGACATACCTATTTATTATTATGTAAGAGCATATATATTATGAATTAGTTACATTATAATTTATACTCCAGTACAAACTACATTTATATATGATATTTTATTGAGATACTAAAACTATGTATAAGCTACCTACATTAGAAAATAAAAAATATGAGAAAACTGTAATACGAAAGTATAAAATATTAATTGTCTGTATAATATGTTAATATGTCAATATAATATGAAGAAATAATTGGATTGAAACGCAGTATTTAACATCGGGACATTTGAAAAATTCCACACTAAAAAAAACCCAGACATTTTTAAAATTTAAGCCATTCAAGGTTTGATCTTTTCCACTCTTATTATGTTAGGTACTTATTACATAGGCACTAATTTACTTTATTACCTATTCTACTTTTAACATTCAACACCCTTTTTTTTCAACCTGATTTTTTTTCGCTAGTTAAAAGGTGCTTATATTTTGATAGCTAATAGTTAATAGTGTGGTAAAAATACATTATGATTTGTTAATTTATACATAGGTAATAGCCAAGTACCTAAGATTAATGTAGACAAAGACCACTAAACGGTGGTGTGCACTGTGCAATAATAATATTGCGGGGGCGAGGTGTCTGGTGGGATTCGAGAGTTGTAGATGAGGACTTAATGTTTCAAAATAGAGGGGAGATACAGGGGCATTACAAAATAATACAACACTTAGTATACCAGCTAGTGGTGTACGAAGACATAATTTTCGGAGTGGACAACAATAGATAGCAAGTGATCGTGCATACCCAGAGGTTAATGTCTATTCAAGAATTTCTAAAAAGGAATTTTGCAAAAACCATCTTATGCTACAGGTGGTAATTATTTCATGATAAAAATACTTAAGAGTAAAATTATAGTTGCTTTAATTTTAACTTAAACTTTGTCAGCAAAATTGTGATATTGATACATTGTAATAGTACATAATAACCACATAGATAAATTGTAGGTACCTATATGATATTATATTGTGATTATTGTCTATGGAACCATACAATTTCAGAATGTAATTAGGAATTTATAACGATTCACATTTACTTTACCTAAACTAAACAAGTTATATTATCATACTCAGTGTCTGCCTACCCACCTATATTATAAGTAGGGCCCGGAAGTTCATGCACTAAAACTCTCAAAATATGCCTTTAAAATCATTAAAATAAAATATGAATTAAATATACATTAATTTTTTTTATAATACATTTTTTCGTTTTTGGTGAAAAATAATAATTAAAATATGCCATATGGGGAAAAATATGAACAATTGATTTAATATGGTATATTATGTTGTATTTACTTCAAGAATTACAGTTTACAACTAGGGGTTTTAATAGGTTTTCAAATACAAAATATGAACAATGATTATCAGCCAATATATTTTTGTAAAGAGGAAAGGCATACTTGAAATGTATGAAGTCATTAATTTGAAGATTTTTTGGAAGTCCGTCTATTGTTGTTCTTCTCCTAACATATTAAATATAGGCAGAATTATAACCGGCTTATCGCCTATCAGGATATAAATTACATAATATTAAAGTACGACCTATTCTTTTAGACAGGTTTTATTGAACATTGGCGAAGTATTTATAAAGACATATTTTTCAAGAAATATATTCTGAAATACACTCTAAGTCTGAAATATTAATAAATAAAAATAATAACCCAAGCAAAATGCATTAAAATGCAATTTTATTTTAAAATATGCATATTTATGTAAAAAAACCTCAAAATATGCGAAAATATGTAAACTAAAATTTCATTTTTGAACTCGATAGGTTGTGATTCAAATTTGTAGCTTATCCAGCAACTTCTTGATACACTCAGTAAAAACATGCCGATGCATGAACTTCCGGGCCCTAATTATAAGTAAATGCGAATAGCTTTTCTCTATCATCCAAGACACATATACCTAACCTAACATAGCCATACTGAAGTTGCTGAAAAACCATTTTTATTGCCAACATAATATTCAATACACAACCTAGTCTGTGATAAATGATGTTGTCAAATTGTCAACAAGCTACAAAATATTAAATAAGTAAACAAAATAATATGTTGTCCTTTATTAACGTTTTTATACGATTCAAGTCGATTGTAATTTCTGGGGGGGAGGGTCTGGCGGCCCACTAGCCCCTTCCCCATATGCACTACCAACGGTATGTATATACGACCATGTATATAGTACCTATGTACATATTCTGTGTCAACTGATGTACAGACAATGAGACAACATTAGTGTTGATAAACGATATCAAAATATTGTATACACACATGTTTTTGTGTAACATACGTTTGTATGTACTATTTTGTTTATATTAATATATATATATATAAATATATGTGTGGCCTGTGTGTGTGTGTGTGTGTGTGTGTGTGTGTGTGTGTGTGTGTGTGTGTGTGCGTATGCGCGCGCGCGTGTGTGTGTATGTGTGGTGTGTGCGCGCGCGGGACGGGACGGGGACCACATGTTCAAACTGAACAATGCTGCGGAGACCCGAAGACTACCGCAGTACCGCGCGCTGCTGACCAGTCATCAGTACTGGTCTAGAAGACGGCGCGTTCGGTTCACGGTTGTTCGACAATCATTTGTTTTTTTACATTGGGTACTATTAAACATTATTCTCGAAGTGCGAGTGGCTAAAAAATTTTTTTAAGTAGTTTGGTCTGACTAAACTTATAGTGATAATATAATGGTGACTTCGCGCATAGCATTAGAAGAGCTTTTGCAAAACAGACTGACTACGGGCATTTGCAAAGACACGTTAAGGATGCAAGGAAACGCTGCGGAATTGTTTCATCTATGTAAGTTGCAAACGATTATGCTTGTATATAACATTGATGTTGAACGTTATTAATAGAGATACCGGGCCGTGGGCAAATAACCGAATAATATAATATAATTGATAATTTAGTACTACTATAACATATTACATGTTATTGATATGTACATTGTACGTACAATATTATGTTACACAATACACTTCGTTCCTAATCATAACGAATTTAACACTTATAATTTCCAAGATTTCTTTATAACATCATATCATTTAACTATTCATAAATAATTATTTCCATTCATGAAACTTTAGAAACAGTATAATAGGAATTTTAATTTTACATGCTTAATTTAAACCTCAACTCATCTCTTCAGATTTATCCATGTTTTGCTTTTATGTATTTTAAGCGTAATTTATAAAATGAAATTTTTTGTTCGTCTTAAAATTTAATAAACTACATATAACATATATATTTTTAAATAGTAAAATAATATCATAATATAAATATAATAAACATCCAATTACAAACGGCAAATAATAACCGTAGGTGTATAATACCATATTATTATAGAGACAATGATTTTCAGTCAATCATACGTACATCATATGAAATTCGTCGGATGACTTATCACTCAAATTGTTCATGCGTGTACCTATCTAATAAAACATTAGATTTAGACCACACCTAGTTCTAGAAAAATCCTAAACGCCCACCAGGGATTTATAGGCTAATATAAGCTAACACCTACGGAATAATTTTTATGAATGAATCTTCATTTAATACCAAAAATCCTATTGTTGTAAAAAAAGTCGAATAATGCCAACATCGTTTATGTTGCATCAAACATAATATTATATTGTATTCAATTTGCATACATTGTCAAATATGGGGTGATAAAGTGCGTAGGTCTGCAGTTTAAAAAATGATTGCAGTCTAAATGATAATACGGACATACAGGCTACGGCTAGTGATGTACAATTAATGTCTTACACCTATATCAAGTATAAAATTTTATTCATATTAAATTATTATCATAAAATTATGCCATGAAAACATATAAACCATGTACATAATTTAATTTTATATTACCTAATTAGTAATTAAATACATATAGTATAAGAATAAGTAGTACTGTACTTGAGTCTTGAAGTACTTAAATAGTACTTAATTCATATAATGAAGTATCAATATGTCCATTAACTTTTCATGTTAAAACAATATGATAAACTTCCAGCTGTATAAATAAATGAACAAACAATTATTAACACCGGTCAAATGTCAATTTAATAAACTTGCATTTTTAAGGTATTTTAAGAAATTGAGGAACAACAATCCGAAGACATTTTTCTATTTAAATGTTAAGCAAATACTTTTACCGCTTATTTTATTTATAAATTAATATCTTTGATAATATAGCTTACTTATATTATTTAATTAATATTTAAATCGTTCTCTACAATACATATTTTACTTCGTGTTCGATGGTAAACTACTAAAAATAAAATATTTTAATTGTTTGATTATAATAAAATTATCAAGTAGGTATCAACAAACAAAGTATTCACATATTTACTATAGCTTAATCAGAAATGTCCTGGATTCATAATATATATTTGTGTTTTATACCCACTTCTATAAAAACACCACAGTGCTATTTTATTATGCCATATGACACTCGTGACTTTATTTAATCAGAATACATGCAATTTGTTGTGTAATCAGTTGGTCTTAAAAAATATTTTATAAGCACGATTGCAATCGAATAAATTAAAATTCAATTTCAAACCATCAATAATGTTAGCCCATAAAGAACAGTTTAAAGACATTCGATCAAAAAGTGTTGTATATTAATATATTGACCAATATCTACTAATGACTATTTGTATGAGCAACTTTTTTTCTGTTATACAGTAAAAAAAAAAACAAGTGCTGAAAGGATAAAATTAAAATAAATAGTAAACGCACTCACGTTTACACGCACCAGTTACAGGTAGCAAAATTATCATAATTATTAATTATGATAATACGATAGGGTGAAGAATACAATAAAAATAAAATCCTAATATCAAATAATTGGTAACTGATCCCAACAAGCCGTTTTTATTAGACTTATTGTTTGACAAATAATTATAATAAATTTAATCTCAATGGCTAATTTTTCTTCAGATTAACTGTACAAAATAAATATATCACCAATTGAATACAGCTAATTTTTATATCAATTAATGTGGTCTCTACAGTGTTCGACTGATACTTAATATGTAAACTATATAATATATATATAAATAATAATATATTAATATTTTAATACTATATTAGAAGATAAAAGAATTATCCGGGACTAGTTGAAAATTCAACTCTGTTAGAAAAAAACATATTTAATGTACAGTAAGCATTTTTTTACATTGTCTATAATAAAGAAGCATTTATAGTAGTTGGAATTTTCACTCTTCATAAAAAAATCGTAAGATTATTGAAAATTGTATGACTGATTTATAACAACAATAATGTTGTGTGTGTTAATAAAAACCCATAATTAATTTATTTTAATTTATTTTTGGCTTTTATCAATACCCGAATATTTATTTTATTCATATTTCATTAAACGTAAAGCCGTTAAAAAATATATTGACATTGAACATACACTACATTATATAGTGTATTAGCTACACTTGCGACAGCTAACAAAACGTAGACAAGCAGACCGCGCAGCTTTAGACCTGCGAATAAAACGGGAAAGAAATGGTTGTCAGTTTTAGCTAATTTGAAAATACCTATACTTAATCTACTCACAAATTCGAGAACCAATTCGTATAGTCTGTCATCACTCATAAAACGGCCTAATTGGATATTTAGGTATATAATTATAATATTTTAGTACAATTTGTAAAAACGTGGGCTGATGTAGACCAGCTGTGGCTCTGCACTGCGTTTATTATGAATTTTAATCAACGAGCATTGTTATAAATATTTAGACATATTATAATATTATACCGTGATAAATAAAATTAAAACAAAACCACTATTTATACGCGAATTTATACGTTTCGGGACACCTGCAGGCTGCAGCAGCCGCAGATAAGGTAAAATTAAAGCAAACCTGTACCGCATTATACTTTGTGTACCTATACACCTAGGTATGGCTGCCGTAGTGGTAAAAAATAATATCATAATTTAAAATATCTAAATGTGATCAAAAATATTGGGCCCGATAATTCCTGCACTTATAGTTTACACCCACCGAAATTTTCCCCGAGGTGACTGACAGTGATTATACGATATTTACATTTGTACCAGCCACATGGGTATATACCTCGTGTTTCAATGAAATATATAAACACAAAATAGACAAATTTGGGACGATTTTTAAAATGTTTACCCTTTTTGTTAAGCAGGCAGTTAAACTTTGTTTTCAATGGTAACACATTATTATCACCAAATTCATAAAGCCCAATTTTTGCAAAGAATTTGTACGAATGAAATTTTTCTATTTCGACGGTTGACCGACATACATAAATTTAAAGTTTCCAGTTTAAATGAGGAAAGGGTTTTAAATATATACCTATGGACATTTGGCTTTGTTTTAGCTATTATATATGTGTAAAAATAAATATATTACTAAAAGTATTAAAAAAATGTCAAACTAGTCAAACTAAAAGCGTCGGAAGAAAAGGGGCACCTGAAATTAATACCTATATCAACAGATGCGAAATATGATAACTAGCGAGACGTTTTTTAAATTGTAATTAGATACTTAATTTATATTATAATATTATTATAATGTGTTTATTTGTTTAACTTTTCACAGATTCGGGAAAACATCACGCGGACGACACGTCATCGTCGTCGTATGGCGCAGAGATGATGACCGCCGTGACAATCAAACGGGAAGCGCACACGCCGACCACCGACCAGAGCGAAGACTCCGGCGTGGACGTGTCTGCGGCGGCTGATGCCCACGACGGCCGTGGGCCGTTCAAACGAAAACGAATGGACGACTCCGATGACGGGGGCGGTTGTCCGACCGCAGCCAAGTCTAGCAGGACGACCGATGCGGCCGTGGCCAGCGTCCTGCGGTCGATCAACATGGAAGCCTGTCCTCCGTTCAGGCCGTGGAGCTGCGGCGATGAGTCGTCGTCGGACGTGGGCCTCCGGCTGTTCCATGACATACGTAATGTGGACAGGATACGGACTCTGACGCAGCAACGTCGCAGCGAACAGTCCCCGTTGCCTCCTCCGCCGCCGGAACCGCAACCCTTGGACCTAACCAAAGGCCATCGAGCTGTGACGAGACCAGCCGGCGCCGGCGCCCCAGCGTTGGACGCGACCACCGCCGATGTCGAGAGCGCCGCCGAATACGACACCACACCGTCGGGGCCGTCGTCGTTCACCTGTGCAGTCACGGAACCAACCGCGGCCGCCGGAGGGTCGACCACCACCACCACCACCACCACCACTGCGGCCACGACCAGGTATAGCAAAAACATGTCCCGGGCCCGGAGGATCGAGGCGAACGCCCGCGAAAGATCTCGGGTGCACACCATCAGCGCGGCATTCGACACGCTCAGGGCTACCATACCGTCGTACTCCCGGAACCAGAAGCTGTCCAAACTGTCTACGATCCGGATAGCCAGCGCTTACATACTGACGCTGTCCCGACTGCTGGACATGGACTACAGTGCTGAGCAGGACAGTCCGTCCGTGGCCGAGTGCGTGGACAACGTCACGGGAATCATACACATGGAGGGTAAGGCGAGAAAGAGGAAAGACGATCAGTAATGACCAATGATTTATAATTACCGCATGATCGCGAATAATATGTTTTTCTTATTATATATAATTATAAAATATAATAAATGTCAATATTATATTTTTTATCGTTATCGGTTAAGACGGTATTATAAGGCGGTCATTTTTATACACGTCAGACATTTCCGGACGCCTATCGCGAGACGTCGTCAATTCGAAACCAAGAAGAATATTTCGATTAGTACCTATGACCACACATGCGTCTCATAAGATATTTTAATATTATCGTTTTGGAAATGTTACCTCTGAGTAAAATGTCGTACCGTTTTCGTCTCTGTGGACGAAGTTCAGCCGTGGTACTGCGAAAAGTATAATACAATCAAGGCGAGCCGTGTGACGAATAATCACAACTTCTGCGGATCGAAACATCGACACGGGGCTGCAGAGCGCACGGCGAGAAGACTGCAGACGGTGAGAGAGAGAGAGACAGAAAACGTACATTTTGTATACATAATATTATATTGTTTTACGTTGTAAATTATACACATTAATATAATCGCGTTGGAGCGAAATTTCGAAATAATTATTCCAAGGCAATGACTATAGAACGCTCCAACCCCCCTGGACACGGCGAACGTCGCTCTGGTGAGCACACAAAGCACCTTTTTCACCCTCGCGAAGATCACACAAGCCAGACTCTCATGATCCACATGTTAAAACACATGGCCAGCACTTGTCGCGTAAATAATATAAGGTTGTAATATATTAATAATATATATATATTGTTATTGCGACGAGTACGCAGCGGTTGCGTATTGTATAATATGCACGTTGACCTATAAAAATAAAACTTGTACGATATTATAATGTACAATAATATTATATTGTATTATACATTCATATTAATATAAAATATAAATATTGTACTACTGCACAAAGAAACGCGACATTTCGTAAAAGTCAAAAAAACAACTAACGGGTGCATATTATTATATTATTATAGTGTATACATAATATAATAATTATTGAATAATGTAATTATATTATATTATTCACTTCCTATGTAAAGTTTATAATTGTATACATTCCGTAGAAAAATCACCTGCATATCGTTGTAAAAAACATCGATTGTTATTTTTATAATATTATCGTCGACACGTTGTTGATCGTGCACATATTATAATACAATAATTATATATATATATTATATTGTACTAGATAGTGTTTTATATATCAGTCGTCCGCTTTGCCCGATCGCCGGCGTCGATCACTGTAGTCGTGGCCACAAAGCGGTATAATCATCTAAGGTTACTACACCCTGCCAGTATGCCCACCCACTATTATATTATATTATATCCTATTTTTATTTTTTCGTTTTGTTATTTATACATAATTACGTATACTAGTCAATTATTATTTATATCGATGTGTACCTATATGTTATTATAAAATATAAATTATTATTTAAAAAAAAAATCTATACCTACAAGTGTACGATATATATATTTTTTTAAATTATATATTAAAATTGTATTTCAATGCTCATCGTCTGTACAATATGTGTACTTGTATGTACTTATTTTTCCATAACGCCAACCACTGGATTTCTCTATGTCTTACTAATAGACACTATAGTCGATTGCAGTTAACGTTTTTATTATTTTATTAATGAAAACAAAAATTGCAACTAATTAAAGATGTGTCTATTGTAACTTGGTTCATTAATAAATGTTTTAAAGTATATTATGTAGACATACGTGTCGATTGAAACAATTAATATAATATAAACGTATTTAACTACTGAGCTGTTCTGGAGGCATTAGCCCGGGGCCCCAGATTTCTATTATAGCCCTCCAATTTTTTTTTTGCTTTTTTTCGTTTCAACATATTGTTACAAAATTGTTCGGTAACACCAAATGATGGTGTTTGGAATATTTAAGTGAAAAAATAAATTGACAATTTCAAATTATTTTTGTATCAAAGCATTCAAAGCATAGATCCCCATTCTCGTGTAAGACTAATCCCTGCTTGTAAGGTCAACATATGCTTCTTCTACATTATAATACAAGTGATATGATCGTCACTTTAAAAACCATTTTACATCTCTATACAAGTTAGAACTAATCTTTTCCTAATTGTTTTTTGCAAAATGTAGCTTAATGGTGCCCTAAACTACTTAGCTTGGTTTTGAAATCCACTTGGAAATATTTCCAAGGTAAAATTTGTGTTCAAATTGAAAATGCAGCACTCGTTATTAAATTGGGAATTTAAATAGCACTTCATAATTGAGGATTAAATGTTGACGCTCACTGCTGATACCGCATCCACAGCTTAAATTCAGAGGAGAAAGGTTAGCGCCTCGTAACTTTTTATTGATCAGAGCAATAGTTTGAAAAATGGTAGGTTACCTCAGATTGAATAGCACTAATTTAGAACCAACAAATAATGGTTCAATAGCGATAACATGTTATATTTAGGTGTTAGAGTCTGTTTTCAATATCAAAATTCCTAAAATGTTGATGGTACAATATACTTAATTTTGGAAAATTGTATGCAAGGTTTTCCATATTAAGTCGATGTAATTGAAATTAAAACAAAATAATTTAACTTTAAGAAGACAGTTGCCCATCATAGTAAAATAAAGGGTGGCAAATGTTTTCTGAAATATCCCTGCAGTAAACATTTATGCGAATATAGTTAAACAAAACTTAATATTGGAAAGTATATTGGTAGATATAGCTATAGTAAATGTCAATGGCGTAACTGTATAAAAATCTAGGAGGAGCAAAATAATTTATTTACCAAAATTATCTAATCGGGCCCGCCAAGACACAATGATTAGTGTGACTCCGCTCGGGATCTAAAATACAACTTGTCGTTCAATTCAAATAATTTGTTTCAAAAATAGTCGTCAATCTTATTAATTGGGTAAAATAAATAAAAATACATAATATATAGTACAACACGAAATGGTTGCTTTTTAGAAACACAATTTTTTATCATTTAGATATAATAAAAACGGGAAACGGTGATGTGATTATTATTAATAGTAGCTAGTATTCGTTTGAGTCGACGAAACGATTAGAAACATAATATTATCCTACTTCTGAAAACCGGCCGATATTTTGATGTGGTCGTTTAGACGTCTGTGAAATGGTGCCCATTGACCGCGTCCGACATTGGAATGCCAGTAGCCATTCATTTAGACGCATTGGACATATTATGCGCACAGTATGCGTTTTTGCGGGGCCGATTAAAAAGCATTTAAAACAAATTTGTGACGACACTATAGTACTAATATTGTAGATATATGCCACACTAATCACTATGAATATGTCTTGCAGGTCGATTCCGCAACATTGCACGTTTCTTAGAGTATTCTCAAACTAAAATAATAGAACAGAACATAATCTACAGAAGGTACGCATAATATACCAGCTACCTGTAAGTGCTGACGTTTAGTTCAAATAAACGTTTTATTTCCGTATAAATATTTACTGCATACAGGTGGCGATTGCCACGTGTGCTCGAGGGCGCCTACAGGGTGGGCAAAAGGGCTCTAGGGAATTTTTATCTGCACGTCCTTTGATATCAACATCGCTGCATAATATAACTACTATGATAGCACATCTTAATTTAAATAGGTGATATTTATCCAGGAAAGATTTTATCTCTCGGGCACGCTTATCCCTGAAAACCAACGGGTGGGCTATATATTGACCTGGATTCATATTATGTCGGTGCACCGTATTACATTTTGTGTACATATATAGAAATTCTGTGCGACAACTCGCCGACGGCACCGAGATGACAGACACATCAGACTGACCACTATTAATATAATGTTGTACCTTGTACGAACTCTCGGACGGCGAAAATTTGATAGGGAATCAAACGGCTGTAGTCAATTTGCACCAAAATTGACCCAAAATATATAAAACATGTGTAATTTGCACCATTTTTTTTAAAATGCGTTTGTAATTTGCACCAAAATAAGGGTAAGCAATTTGCACCACCCTCTGGTAGTAAGAAATAGGAATTGTAATTTGCACCAAAATTAAAAACGATTATTATTTCGATAGTAATGGTTGTGATTTACATGTACACTTTCATCACGGACAATCGTCAAATTTTCACCTGTAGTAAACAATTTTGCTGAACATTTTCTCTGTGTACAACGCCAACGAATTATATTTGTAGTTTTTGTTTTATATGCAAAATAAAAAGTATGGTTATCGTATTCTAAAATATCTTCCCCGCGATTACTTTTAATTAACTTAACTTCCATATTTCAAGAAAAAAATTAAATACTGCAATACAAAAATGTTACGTTAAATTACGTATTACGACGAAACGGCAAGACTAAACGTATAGCTTAGTTGATATTTGATCAAAATAATAAACTGATATACATTATATAAATATATATATAACGCGATATAACGCGATTACGACCGACAATTGGACGTATATCGTCAAACTATTACCAGATAAGGTGAAAAATCCCGAAAAATTATTATTGTCATTCGTGTTCATCTAGTCTTGACGTCGCGTCAACGAGAATATCGAGTAATAACACTATCGATACTAATGATACTATCGAAAAAATAATCGATTTTAATTTTGGTGCAAATTACAATTCCTATTTCTTACTACCTGAGGGTGGTGCAAATTACATACCCTTATTTTGGTGCAAATTACAAACACTACTTTCGACTACCTGGAGTGGTGCAAATTACATATCTTTAATTTGGTGCAAATTACAAACTCCCAATCAAACGGCACGATGGGACGCAGAGAAAAAGGCCAACGAAGAGGGCTGCAATCATCAAGAGTTGCCGGCTCACGTGTACGGTGTATATACTGTACAATTTAACTATAATGCAAGTAAATAGGTAATTTACAATGCGGGTTCATAAAAATATTCTATACTGAAATTTTTACATGACTCGATTCAAAATTAAAGTATCATAAAAAACGTAAGCGGGGCCCTAGATAATAGGTACCCTATTCTTAGCTTTAGAGTATAGATCAATTCTCTCTAAATGTAAAAATATCGAAGTAAAATAGATTATTCTGAATTTTTTTTTTACTAGCTTTTAGTTTTACTATTGTCTATTACACCTCAACAATTATATAAAACAACTATTCTGAACTTAAAATGTACTGTGTTGAACATTTGTGAGACGGAGACAGAGACGTCCAGTTAAAAGGACTCTATACTGTCTACACTGACATTTGTTGTCTCCGCGTCTTACAAGTGCGTCACATAAAGTAGCATACTAAATGTACGCTCATCACATCAATTTAGCAGATCACATTTAGCTTCTTTAATTTAAAAATTACAGTGAATCGACCTGTAATGAAACTTGATGATGAGAACCTTCTCTGTGTTTGGGTTTTTTATGCAAAACTTCAATTTTTAAGTTAGTTATGAGCGTTAGGTAGGTACTCGGAACTTGCCAAAGAATCGAATTATCGTAAAAAATAATCGGTATAATAAAATATAGGAGCATAATAACTAAGTATAAGTTGCTATTTATATGAGAGCCGGGCGCGGAGGGCAAAATATCATACTGGGCTGTGAAAACTAGCTTCAAGTAGCTCAACTATTCAAGTAGGTTATAGGTACCAACATTTTTTGGGTCAACATATTATTTCAAATGTCAGAAAACTTAATCACATTTTATTATTATTATTATATTGATTTTGCTTTCTACTGTTAATTACCGGAGGTTATTGGTATAACATATCTGTATGTCTGTATAACTGACGTGGCGTGTGGCGATAGTGCTTTGTGATGGTTGTATAGGAGAGGAACTTGACTAAGAAACAAATCCCCTAAAAAATATCTCTAAAAGTCTAAACGATGGTTTAGTTATAAGCATTTTTGACAACATACTCGAAATAATGATCACGATCATGTATATGGATGTAACTCCAACTGACCAATTACTTGTTATTTATCTGATTTCCGGTATAGGTTTAATGGATACCACATCCGATAATCACTGTAGATAAATAAATACGTAATTAGAAATGTTTTTTCCAATGTCTGTACTTATAAGTAGGTACATGATTTGAGATAATAAACTTGTTTCGATTGTGTGAAATCATAATTCATTGCTACAAATAGGTGTCATAGCAATTATATAATGTGTGGCAATGGTACTGCAAAGAAACTGTGCTCAGTAATTTTTTGACACTGTATCGGTTTACTACATATGTTGCGAGTCTTTAAAAACTAATTAAATAAACATAAGGGCATACAATTGCATACCTATGTCATATATTGTAAAAATCACAAAAAATGATTTGAATTTTGTTCGTTGGCGTTGTTCAAAATTTAATTCGCTTAAGTGTCCGCGTGTTTAAGTATTTTGAAAACGTGTTTGAATATAGTCGTAAATCATAATCCTATAATTTTAACTTTAAATCATAACCACTTGCATGATGGAAAAGATAAATTATTTATTGTAGCTAAAATAAAACGTCTAATGATTGAAAAAGCTTAATCATCACCCGCGGTATCAGTTATAGTCAAATGTTTTTGGAAACTATTGAGAATTGTCCAAACAATATACTAGCAGTTGATTATACCCAAAGAATATTATTTGAAAGGGACTATTCGAAATAATCGAGGGCATAATGACCCTGTTAAGCCGAATACGATCGACAAAATTACTATAAGGTAAGTGTAATTTTTTGCATATAACGGTGCAGTGGCGCCCAGATAGGTTAGCAAGGGGTGCAACTGCATGTGCTCTCGTGGTGGGTGGGTGGGTGGGTCACTTTTGTTAGTTGCATGTGCTCTCAAAATACTTCTGTGCGCCACTGTAACGGTGGTTTACCAATTTAATAATTCGGATTTATAACACATTCGTTAGCTTACAATTATTATTCTATCTTTCGTACGCAATATATCGGATGATCCATTTAACGCAGGTCCACTCATTATATAAAAAACTATTAACATTTTTTCGGACTAATAGAATAACAAAAAACTTTTTTTTAAATATTAGTATTACCTATATAATTTAGAAAATAATTCAATTTATTCATGTTTAATTATATTCAACAAATACCCGTCTCATTATTGCCTTAATTATTATACTGGGGATTTTTTCCAACTACCATTTAAACCCGCTAACCTATAAATTAATTGTAATCGGACTAAACTATACTCTCCATATTTTGCTTCCAAAACTTTAAAAACTAAATTAAATTAATCTATATCAAACGCGACTTACTCTTCTAATAAACGCATAATATGTGATATTACCTATGTATTCTCAAAGTATTGGATACGTATATTATGTCAGGAATTGTTTTGTGCTCTTGTTTGAAATCATAATATTTTTTTGAATTTGTAGGTAGGTAGGTAGGTATGTTAAAATCCGAAGACTTGTCAAATAGAACAATGTACCTATGTCATATGACATTTGAGGCCCAACATCGGGCGTTCACTATATATAGTTGCGGAACTGCGTAGTTAACTAATCACACAACAATCAACGGATATTAAAAATGACGAGAACAAATTTAACATTCGGGTAAAACCGATATTTCGGTAAACTGAAGTGTAAAACGTAGGCACCTAAAGCAGTATTTTATAAAAAAACCAAATATTAAAGGTACCCGCTGCATCAGATATAACATATTCGACACCGTAATATAGGCTAATACCCATAACGTTATTATTTTAATGGGTAACAGCGGACAAATAAAATAGTTAAACAGTAATTATTGTGAAATATAATAAAATACACATGATGTGAGTAATGACACAATACTACTCGAAATTCCGATAATTAAATCCGTTAAACGACTTAAACGGTTAGTCATAAACGCATAATAAGTCATACGACACACAGGCCACAGTAGCATTGAAAATAATAATGATTGTTTACCAGTGAAATTATCTATTGGCTACGAACATCTGCACGACTGCATCGACAATATTGTTAAAAATATTTCTGATGTAACGATTAATAATTAATATTTAATAGTATATATTATGTTTTGTGTATAATATTCACGAGGGCATGAATTCAGAGCATATCGATTTGGGGGGGGAGTCATTTTTATACAACAGAAATACAATATTACAATTAATAGACATTTGATTCTTAAATTAAAAACATTTCTTTCAATATTAGTGTAATCTTAAATGTAATAAATAGATCATTGATTAAACCATTTAAACCTATATAGTATATAGTTTTAATCATAGACATATAATAGAAATATATTATAATATTATGCATATGGTTCTAATTAAAGTAGGTGCAGTAATTATCGAATTACAAAAAATATCGGGGAAAAAATATGTCTGGAGTGGGCTGGGAACTCCTGGATTCGTCAACGTATTGGACTCTTTTTACAATGATTCTCATCTCTCCTTTTTTCTAACCGTATTATTATTATTATTAAAATTATCTTATAAATATATATTTTTTTTACAAGCACACTAGTATTTAGTATTTACAACCCATATAAATTAATAAATCATCATAAATAGGCAATAAAATAAATCTAAAAATCTATTGGTTTATATCATTCGAAAGCGCCGTAGCTCACTAGAGGTAGGTATCTAATTATAGTTACTGGTAACAAGAGTCACCTATATAACTCATGCAAGGGCGCATAAATGTTCAAGGCGCAAAAATTGGAATGATATTTTAATCAGTTTTGTTAAAATAAATTGTTTTTTTAATTAAGTAATTATTGATTGTACAATTTTTAAACTTAATAGTTAAAACTTAAATATTGCTACAAAAAGAGACAAAATTAAACTCAGAATTATTTAAAAATATCTGCATCTTTATGAAATCCATAAAACTTGTAATTGAGTTAAACATTTTTTCTTAAAAAAAAAGTCTAATGTAGATACATTATCCGAATTTGAAGAATACACAAAGGACGAGTATCAACATTTGTTCAACAACATATAATTCAGTTCAATTGGATTCACTCTCATCATTTTTATATTTAATACCATTGTTGTACTTCGATTGGACTGGTGTAACTACGAAAAAACAAAAGACGTTTTTTCCGATTTTCATTAATTTATTAGAAACCCAGTCCGGATGATCAAATAAAAAAAAAATGGGAGAAGTAGATAACCGCTCTGAATTATAGCCTAAAGTGTGCCTCGGTGTCATGGAGGACCACTGTAGGTAGCTAATGTGTTCAATTTTAATTCAATGATGAACCAATGCATACAAAAAACGTATTTAGCGAAGGTGATTGTCAACCCTACATTACATGAATCATGATAGGTATGTTTTTTGATATTATTATAGTTTACTTTCCTGCTACTGCCTAGCAGTTGTGCCCAAACATTTCTTACTGACTTGTGTAGTAGATCATTCTGATTTTTGACCACCCACCACATATACCACTCAAATAATAATAGTTTCACAAATAAATACCTAACATGTAGATTTGTTTAACCATTTATAGCTTGAGGCTAAATTTTAGTATTGTACATTGTCGGTTAAGATCCACCCACACATCCACCACTACAGAGCACCCATGCAACTGCACTATACTTGGTAAGCTGCAGCGTGGGCACCGCCTAGTATTGCGGTAGATAGGTTTAAATATTTTTTTCCGAAAACCTTGTATTAATTTAAAATGTCATTGTGTTAGTAAAATATAATAATATACCTGTTAAGTGTTTCAAGTTCACACAAATAATTTTTTTTGAATTACAACAGTATAACTAAAATAACTATTTTCTGTTTATCTGTATAATTTATTAACTATAATTAATTATATTTATTTATTAGTCTCTCTGGTGTGTTTGTGTCTTTATTGTGGGGGGGGGGGGCTTGGCCATCATCACTGGTCACTGTCAGAAATCTGGAGGTGGCATGCAATACGCTACATTGTTTTCCAGTAAATTGTACATAATTCTTGTACTTACCTATGTTCTATACTTATGAAATTGAATTCAAGTATTTATAATATCCGGGTGTAATTGTTTTTTTTTTTACAAATAAATGGATACTGAATACAGGCCTCGCAAACACAACCACTAGTAATAATTTATTTACATTAGATGTTTTTCATAGAATATATAAAAAAAAAACTAAATATAACTTGGAAATTATACAAAAACAGTTTAATTGAAAAAAAAATAGTAATTAAATACGGACAAAATCACAATAATAACAATAAATAATAATAGGTACAGTTTTTTTTTAAACAGGTAATGAATTTGACACTTTATTTTTCACTATAGATGAACATAAACGTCCAAAAAATGACAAACCTTTTTGACCAAATGGTATGGAGTTTAATAAAAACCAAAGAATAAGTACCAGATGAACAGTCAATGATAATAATGTAAATGGAGTACTCTTCATCCACAATGAAAAATACAAAGTACTCAAAAGAGTTGTAATGTAGCCAAACATGAAAGGAAGCTTTTCTTTGGATGTAACATACTTGTAGTGATTCAATGGACCCGTCAAAAATGATACACTAAAAAATTACATATAAAATACTTATTAATTAAATGTATGTAATAAGCATGTACGCTTAATTACATTTAAATACAATATACAAATTTAGATTTCATATAACAAATTTAAAATTTAAAAATACAACATGGTTTTTATAAAAATAATTTTAGTAACTTTTTAGGAGATATCTTCTTAACAATTTAGTTGAGAAAATGGTAATAATGACTTTTTTTTATCTCATTTAATCTCGACCCCTCCTCAAATCAAAATGCACCTGCCTCAATTCCACATTACAAAAGATTGGAAGCCCTATTGAAAAACAATAAGCATCATACATTACCTGGCAAAAGCAAATATGCTTCCAGAAGCGTATAAAATCGCAAACTTCCTAGCTTTTATTAGAAGTACAGGCAAGTATAATGCTGACAGAGATAACATCAAACAACTGATTGACACACAAACTACAAACCCCAATATTCTTTGGGTTTTACTCTGCAAAATCAAATTACAGTTAATGTAAATTTAAATGTAGCTCAAAGCAAACAAATTATATATATTGTATTATTAAATCTTACCATCTGGGGAAAATTAAAATAAGTCGTCTGTGTTGAATCCAACAGGTTTTCCGTTTGTTCACCAGATTCACTGTTGAGCAGTTTCTTGAACACTTTTGGAATGTGTATGTGGTGCCCATTGTGGGATTTATTTTTTTGGCCTTTATTAAGATACTCATCGAGTTCCAGTTTTAAATTGGACATTATGATGCTATATTGACCAAGGACATTATTTCAACTACGATGTCGTAATACATCAACACGTAGACTATAATAATATAGACAACCAAAATATAATCTTATAAATCGTTTAAGCCATATACGAACTTTACTCTTGTAGTTAATGACTTGACGTGCACATAATCAACATCGTAAAGAATTTTATGATTGTTACTAGTTAGTAAGCTCGAACGCCCCGCCAAGGATTCAAGACAGGACTTGGTACTTATTTCAATTTAAAAGTTGATAGGTATTTAATTATTAACATATTCTGCGGTAACAACACTTGAATTAATATGTAAATAAGCAGATTACTCAATAGTTACTTAGAAATTAGGAGACTCATCGACTGATTGACATAATATTCAATAACAAACCAGACTCCGATAGTAATATTGTTATCACTACTGATAAACACGAATTTAGATGATAACTCTAAAAGTAAATAATAACATAGACCACATTATAAAAATATTATACCTATACATATATTTATATTTAAGTATATAACTATCTATATTTGTAGTCTTCGAGTCTTCGGTAATATATACTATAACTAATAACTATAACTAATTAGTATATTGTAGCATTAAACTGGAAATTGACGAGCAATTTAAATTGAATTAGGTAAACGACCGGAGCCGGTAGGCGAAGAAAGTCACTAAATACTTTTATTACTCATACCTATTTTAATGTAAAATGTTAGTGCAAACTTAGTCAAGTTTATTCTCCTGAAAGCTGTAATATTTTTTGATTTAAAATATTTGTCACTTGGATCACTTACAACTATAAGCTTAATTTACTGAACCATAAATTATTTAAAAACTTATTATATTCCCGGGATTTTGCACATCACTAGACTGTCAGACTTTACCAGTCTTCAGTATAATAACATGTCTAAAAAAAAATTGTAAAAAAAAAGTGTGTCTGGTAAAATAACAAAGTTTCATATAAATGAAATGTGATTAAGTTACCTGGTCATTACTGCGCTAAGTCTTCAACATTTATTTCATTATTTTGCATTCTCAGAGATAGTTTATAACATACATTTTGTAATGTACCTATACTGTTAATAATGCCAAAAGTTAATCGTTGGGATTATTTTTTCCAAAATTCACTAATATTATCGTAGTTCATGGAATATATGAAAATAGAACATAAAATAATGTTTTGTGATCTGTGCGACTGTGCTACACTACAATTAGAATTAATTTTCAAATCCGGAGAATAATAACAAATTTCAGTATAAAAAAAAAATTGAATACCCTAGTCCCTAATATTATAAAAACATGAAATGAAACATACTTTTTTCAATAATAGCCCACCCTACTGTAGAAATGTCAGCGTGTAGGTACACACTGTGTACTACACAATACACCCATAATTTAGAAATAATATTTTATACATGATTAGGACAGCTGGACATTCCGTAGATAGTTCTATCTTAAATTTATCCAATTATTAATATACATACAACATACATCATACATTAAATATATACACCATTAGAGTTGAGACTATATGCATCGTTGTTAACATGTGAGATCATGGTCAACATGTAGGTAAATCATAATATTGAGCTATGGCTACATCCATAAAATCTATCACATAATCTGATTAAGATATACACAAAATATTGTATTGTGATTCACAATTTATAGAAGATTAAATGCATACAAATTGTTTTATGTAATTATAATGAGCACTTACTGATATAATACAATTGACTTAGTCAAGTATTTAGAATAATTTAAAAAAATATTATGCATACGACCATTCCGGAGCAATTTAAATGAAGTCATAATAATTAGAAATGAGTTGATAAGCTGACTAATAATCTAAATGATTATGGAACACTAATTTAAGATTTTTTTTATTATAACATGTGTTTTAGTTAAAATATATACTACTAAAGAACACGAAAATTAACCGTAACATTTACCAATGGGAAAGCATTTAATGGTTAATGATGATTGATTAAAAATACAAATTAGTGGTAAATATGATAGGTAAATAAACAATATTCTGTTCAAGATAAGAACAGACCTTTGGCGGCAGTCAGACACATTGTCAGACACTACAATCAACACACAAGACTAGTGCTTTGGAACAAAGCCACACCCAAGAGCAGAAGCCAGTCACCGAGTTCTGTTCCTATCTTGAACAGAGTATACAGTTTAACTGTTCAGGTTGTTAGATTTAGAAGAAAATTAAAGTTAAGTTTTGTACAAATAAAAAAACCATTTAGACAAGTCATTCTATAGTTTAAAGCTTTATTACAATATTTTATAATATAATTTTATCATTTGAAAAATAAAATAATCATGAGATCAACTATTTTATACAATGAATACAAGTCGGCTTTTGACAGCTGAAAATATGATTTCAATATTACAATAATTCGCTACTTAACACCAGGTTAGGTTTTTAATATTTTTCTAAGCTTATAAAGAAAAAATATATAATAAGAATAATGTTTGTTTTCATAACTAAAAAAAAAGTTGAAACTGTAACTTAAATCTAAATAAATGTTTATAAAATACAATACATTTAAATTCAAACTAAAAATTAAAAGCTATTACTTATTTAAAGAAGTCAATGATACTTTTATTAACATATAAATAAAATAGATTTAAATATGTAAAACTATTGAACACATTTAAAATACAACATTCACATGTTGTTCACAAAAAAAAAAAAAGCACAGCTAAAATCAGTACTAGGTGACGAGGACGAGAAGTCTCGCCTTAGTTTATGGCAGTGATAAGTTGTCTTACTCAAATGTGGCTAAAAAATAAATTACTATAAAATTGAACTAAACACATTTTTGACTAAATTTGAAAAAAAATATACTAATTAACACAATAATAGTTTTAAATTAATTCAAAAAACGAAATTAATGTCCAAAAATATTTTTTACTAAAAAAAAAATTAATAAGGAACCCAAAAATTGACCAGATGAAAATATTATTAATAAATTGAAAAAAATTATATATTTATATATAAAGAGGAAATGGTTTGTCTAACCTTTTACTTAATAAATTATTTTTGAATTTAATTTGGAGAATCATTTAAATTTAGAGAAAAAGAATTAAGAAACAAAATATAATTATGCATAATAATATTATTTCAAATACTTTAACCTAATACTTAAATAGGTTTATAAACCTATTTTAAATATGGTCATCAAATAAAATTTACTTATAAACAGTAGCTTAATCAATTAATATTTTTAAAAAAATACAATGGTATCATATAATTTTTTGGACCTTATAATATCTATGTAACTCCAGCTTTAAAATATAAGGCTCGTTGTTTTGTACTACTGTTTATAAAATAACTAATAATGTTGAAGATAATAAATCAAAATTCAGTATCCTCATAATCTCATGACTGTATAGTTTTATGAATAAAAAAAACATACAATTTTGTACTTTGAATAAAATAATTTCAGAATAAAGGCACGGAAAAAATATTTAGATTAAAGTAAAATAAAATTTGATTTTTCAGTATAAAAATATCATGTTAATAGAACGTTCCGGTAAAAAAAAAACAACGCTGAGATCTGAAAAATTCTAGAAAGGTGTGTAGATATTACAACCAAATTTAAATTTACATAATATATACAATATTTTTCTACTTGTTTCTTATAGTTATTATGCATTTACTATAAATGGCATTAACAGTCCTTTAATTTTGTACAATTTACGTGAACACATGTGTGCAATGAGCTGCCATAAACTTAAATACAAAATTTACCACACTAGACAATTCCATGGAAAAATTTTATATGAAATTAACCAATTTGAAACTCAAGAACCGTTTACTATAAAACTCCCTAATTATTGCAGTTAATAAAAAGTTTATGTAAAGCAATTTTTTGGGGTGTTTAAGCTTTAAGAATCTACAATTTAAAAAATATATGTAGATTTAAATTGTGTATAAAAATGTAAAAAAAACTAAAATATTATCAGACATAAAGAATGTATAGACATTTGATTCATAAACCAATTAAATCGTTAATTCATGTACATATACATGACACGTCAAACAAAAAACACTTTTACATCATAATATATTCTATTGTGTAAGCTGATGTGATGTTAAATTTGTTATCTTAACATAAAACTTTCAAATATAATAAACGGTTCAAAAATATATTCAACATTAAGATATTTTTCAGTTGAGAATCATTGGTGTTCATTGATAAAATTATGATAATAATCCAAAAATTATCTTATGGTTTATTACAATCATTTTAATGTGACCTTTTTCAATATTAAAAGTTTTGTAGAAAATATTGTTTATGAAATTAAGTAAAATACTTAAACATTCAAATATGTACTTTTATACACAAATATACACACACATACACAATATATATATATGTACATACACACACATGTATACATATTACATATTAATAAAAAAGAAACATTTTTTATTGCCGCAACTTACGTTAATTGTGCTACAGTATTATTACTAGGTGGCAGTACAGGTGTAGTATGACAATGTAATATAAAACTGTTGTAGATTTCTATTAGTTCAGACATTTTATACTCTTCTAGACAGACAAACCCTTCCAAATTTGGAGATTGTTTCTTCGCACAAATAACACAATAAACACAATGTTTTTTCTCTTGTTCACGGATGAGAAGTATATTGAATACTTCCACCTAAATAAATAAAAGTATATTATTGAAAATTAAATACCATTAATCATACAGAAATAATAAAATGTTGATATTTTAGTACAGTTTTTATCTGAAGCAGAATAGTAGTATGAAATACTTTTTTTGTAAATGATTATAATAATACAGTTTCATGTATCATTAAATACACTTACTACATTCAAGTAGTAGTGAGTGATGGTTTTGGGGCTAAGACAAGTGAGGCATCAGTTCACTTGGAATTTTCAGAAATTAAAATTTTTGTATATTTTATATCATGTATATTTTAGATATAACATGCTTTGAAGTTTAAATAGGTAATAAATAAAACCTTGAAATATTTTAATTTTTTTTTGCACAAAATGTAAGAATGACTTGTTCTGTAACATTATAAGGTATTATGGATTTTGCAGTTTAACGCTGCATGTTACCATTCGTTAACACATTAACACTTAATAATGTGAAGGGTACATGCGCATAATGCCAGCTGAGAGCCAAAACACTACTACCTCTAAAGACAACTGTGTACATCAGCGTTTCCCAAACCATGGGTCGTGAAATCTTTTTGAATGATCGCGACTCAGTTACAATTACTGTTATTTTTAGCCGTGATTGATACCTCTATATTCTATAATAATAATATGAAGTCTAACTAGTATTGTAGAATGTATGACATATTTTTAGTAATCTTTATAATATTTTAACATGATTATGGAGTATTTGTTACCT